TCTCTCTCTCTCTCTCTCTCTCTCTCTCTCTCTCTCTCTCTCTCTCTCTCTATCTATCTATCTATCTATCTATCTCTATCTATCTATCTATCTATGTCTCTCTTTTCTTCTTTTTCCTGTTTTGAAAAGTCCAGATTGTAGTAGAGGCTGGATGGTAGGCCTCGGGGGGTGCCTGTTGTTGTACTCAACCAGTGAGGAGATCAGATGGCTTGTGACAGCCCCAAGGACAGTCTCCTCCAGGGGCCATCATTCATGAACTTTTTTTGTATTATCCTAATCAGATAGCAAGTCGCGCCCTACAGCGGTGCGACCCAGACCTGTCTCTAGACCTAGACCTACACCAACCCACGACCATTCCCCACCTGTATCACATCTAGCGGAGTCTATGGGTGTCTAACACCCTTCTACTATCAATGCGGCGACCCACCCTCAGACTGGAACCAGGATCGAACAGTGTAAGTATGGACTTCCGCAGGTGTACCATGAGGCCGGGAAACTACCGCAATACCCCGACACACCCACAGAGCAGTGCATACGAAGGAGGCGGTGCACTGACAGGCCCACAATCTCTACACAAATTCCTACCTAACCTAATCTAGACCTAAGACCTCTTGTAACAAGGCGGAGACAGGGCAGTGAGGCTGGGAGAGGGAGGGAGAGTGAGAACGCACACACACGCTCACTCAACTCGACGCAGACTCGACACGACTCGATGGGCGCAGCCACAAAGTGGCAAAATTGCAAAGTCGCAGTCTTGGATTCCTGAACACAATGTTGAAGCCTAGTCACACTGAACACAACCAATGAGGCTGAAAACTGGTTGCCCGTACTGGGCTTGAGTCTGATCTTAAGTACCGGACTCAAGTTCAGTCCCGAGGGCAGAAGTGCAAATTGCCTCAGGGCTGAACTGAAAATCTAAGGCCCGAGTCTGGGCGCCAGAATGCCGGATGGCGCCAAGTATCGAGATCCGAAAGTGGCAAAAGAGGAATTTGAGAAAGGGCGCCAACAGTCAGGGGCCTGAGAACAGAGACTCAAAATTGAAATAGCAGTCTGGCGGGTGGTAACCTGCGAACCAGAACAGGCAGAGGAGGAACAACAGAAGCAAAAAACTTACTCCAGAAGGCTGCAAAAGGGAAGAGGAAAAGTTGTCAGCGAACAGGGGGCAGAGACAGAAGGGACAGGCGAGACCACGGGGGGGGGAAGATGGCGACACAACTATGAAGGAGGGGGAGGGAGAAAAGAACCCGGTGGTAGGAGTGAAAAGGAAACACATTGATGACCAAAAGGGGAGAGAGGACACAGAGGAGGATCAGGAACACCCAGAGTCTGAGGGCTATCCTTGGTCAGGTCAACAGGAAAACGAACTTCTGAAATACATTCAGGTCTTCGAGAAAAAAAGACAAGACAAGTATGAACTGCAGCTAATACTACACAAGGAAGAACAAAAAACAAGTTGAAAGTTGAGATATCCAATCCATCACAGCTAATCCCAATGTCAGAGAACCCCTTTGCTCCTCTGGAAAGAGAGGAGGAGCTTGCAACTTTCTTTGCAAAAAAATATTGCGCAACAAAAGAAG